TGCAGGTGGAAAACATAAAGTTCGACTACCGAGGATAATTCCGATCGAAGGAAAATCTGGGGGATTCCTACCCTTGATCCCCCTTTTCGCCGGATTAAGTGCCTTGGGGGCGCTCGCAGGGGGAGCTGCAGGTGTGGCCAAAACGGTCGTTGATGCCAAGAATGCACAAAAGAAATTGGAGGAAGACCATCGCCATAACAAAGCTATGGAGTCTTTGGGCAAAGGATTGTATTTGAGAAAAAATGCTAAAGGTGGTTATGGGTTGTACCTCAAAAAAAAAAGTCAAAAAAACTAAACATCAAGCTACCCAAGAAAGCGCTTTATGATTATGAAATAAAGCAATATGCGAAGCTCTTGAACATACCTCATTTCCGAGGTGTCTTCATGCGTGACACTTTACCACGAGACGGTCCACGTAAGAGAGAATGCGCCGTCGTGAACTTAGATATTTCACAAAACAACGGAACTCATTGGGTAGCTTATAAAAAGATAAACAACAACGTTGAGTATTTCGATTCATTTGGTAACCTGAAGCCTCCACAGGAACTTGTTCGATATCTGAAAAACGCTAAAATTTTCTACAACAACGATCCTTACCAAACTTATAATCAAGTTAATTGCGGACAATTGTGTTTGAAATTTCTAAACAATAACAACAACAACGATGGATAATAAAACATTATCGGAATTTACATTAGAAGAGTTTGAGAAGAATATTCCGCCGCTGGAATATTTAATAAGCAATGTGAGACCTGCAGAATTGTTGAGTATATGGCACAAACTGCCTGCAGAATACACATCCAATTTTGATCTTCAAATACGACTTCCATGCTATGTTCACTACAACAGACCTGATTGGACAACACATTGGGATGGACCGGCTACTGCTCAAGCAAATTGTTATTTCTGTAAATTATCCATTCGAAAATAAACAAAAAAAAAACTTGAATAAATGCTTAGTACACAGCTATATTTTTTCATTCATCATGTCGCAGTTGTTGAGAGTCAATAGCACTACTCATATATTTTCATTTCGTCCTTCAACACCGATAGTGTTGGATCCGAAAAAAGATTATGAATTGGCGCTTAGGTCTTTTACTTCATACAATTCCATACCGAATATTGAAAAAGGAGATAAATTTTATTATATCGACCGGATAGGTGGTGGTGGTCAATTAAAAGTCATCGAGTTTCCGACAGGTTGTTATGAAATTACCGACATAGAAACATTTATACGAACGCAAATGAATCTTGAAAATGAAGTTGCTCCTCCGGATGATTATTTTTCTCTAAAACCTAACAATAATACACTGCAATGTGAAATCTTTAGCAAGTATTATAAAATAGTTTTTACAGAACCGAATAATCTTGGACATCTATTGGGATTCTCGAAAAAAGTTCTTAATCCTGGTCAAAAGCATTCTTCTGATTTACCTGTAAACATAATAAAAGTATCAACCATACACTTTGATGCTAACATTACGTCGGGAGCCTTTGACGGAGACACGCCTGCACACACGATCTACGAATTTGCTGTGACAGCCGATCCTGGATACGCTATAGTCGAAACACCTGTAAATTTACTATATCTACCTGTTATACCGAAACAAGAAATAACCAACATCACAGTGTTGGCTTTAGATCAAGACGGTCGTCCTGTAAACTTTCAAGGTGAAACTAGTACTCTTGTGTTGGAGTTGAGAGCGAAGCGCAGATGGGATTAGTGATTATAAGACATAGTGGTGCTTCCAAGGCAACTTCAGTATTACCCCAAGCACCTAAGCGACGACATCTACTACTAACTACATCAAATATCCTGTTTCTACGCTCACTTGGATATCATGTCAACAACAACAAGAATCATGTACAAAAAGAGAAAAACTGAGGAGGCAGCAGCAGCAGCAGCATCACATACTTCTCCGATGTTTGATCTATATCGATCTCCAGCATTCGATGAATCTATTCGCAAGGCTGAGTATAGATCTTATACGCCGTTCATCAAGTCATTTAATTGTAATGATGTTGTGGAATTTAGCATCAATCAAGTAGATTCGTTCTTTGCAATGAACGCTTCCCTTCTATCTATCAAAGGAAAAGTTGAAATAACTGGAGGAGGAGGAGCAGGAGATGTATCTTTAGCTCCAAACTTTGGTGCCTTCCTATTTGACTCTTGCACTTACAGTGAATCCGCTAGAGAAGTTGAAACAGTACGTGATCCTGGTATTGTAAGTACTGTCCGAGCTTACGTATGTTACAGTGAGGAAGACTCAAATCATATGGCTATAGCTGGATGGAACTATCCTTCAACACCTATAATGGCGTCAACACATAACAAGTCTTTTAGCTTGCTAATGCCGCTTAAACATATTTTCAACATTTTCAATGATTATCCTATGATTACGTGTGGCAGACAAACTCTCAGATTTGTGAGAGCTAGAAACGATAACGATTGTATCATTATCAAGGAAAAAACTGGAACGACGACGACAGCGAAAATAACTATTGAAAGCATGGAACTGAAAATCAAACATATTTACCCGAGTGATGATGTGAAAGAACAACTTTTGAAAGCTATTCAAACTGATAAGCCGATACTTATACCGTTTAGAAAATGGGATCTGAATGAACTGCCTGCAATTACCGCAGATGCGAGAAGAGAAATATGGTCAGTTAAAACTAGCACCGCAATCGAAAGACCACGTTTCATTATAGTATGTTTCCAAACCGGTAAACGCGACGTCGCAACCTCAGACCCTACCCTGTTTGATCACGTGAATGCTGCTAGTATTCGAGTATCTTTAAATGGTGAATACTATCCCAACGAACGTATGCAATTGGACTTTGCAAACAATCACTTTACTGAAGCTCATTTCAACTATAGCGACTTTCAAACCAGCTATACAACTTCTTCTTCTCCTCTGAAGAGATGTCTTTTAGATTATACCGCTTTTAAAAATCGCGCTTTGTTTGTTATTGACTGTTCCAAACAAGAGGAAACCATGAAATCATCAACTGTTGATGTTAGATTGGATATCGAAGCCGATACTGGCTTTCCAACCAACACCAAGGCCTACTGCATCATTATACATGACTGCTTAATCGAGTACTTCCCCCTCACCGAAGTTATTAAAACCATCTCGTAAGCAACGAAGGACTCTCAGTTCCGCATCAGACATCATGAGGATCGCGTTTGTTGACATTCAAGGCTTTACAGTTGACGGATTATTCGTACCTAAAGAACTATGTATCGAAATTGGTTTCAAGAAAAGTCATTACATCTTTACACCTCCGCAACCTTTTTCTACATTAAATACTAAAGACAAGAAAACTGTCGCTTACTTGGAGAAGAATTTCCATGGGCTTAAATATTCTTCCGGCGACGTTAAATATTCCAAGTTAAATGAAATAATTAAAAATAAGGTGATATATGCGGCTGACTATGTCTACGTTCGTGGAGAACAGAAAGCAAACTTTTTACTCAAGAAATGTCACATTTTTGGTGTTTTTCCCAACATTATTGATGTTTGCAAGTATGATGGTACACCGTGTGCTACTGGAAACTTTGTTGCTGATTCCAATCCATGCCACACCAACGGACAATTTTCCTGTACCCAGAGAAATGTTGAACGTCTACGCCACTGGTTTTCAAATATCATATTACCTATGTAGTTTTTTCTATTTTCAATAAAATATTAAACGTATTATTGTAGTTTTATTGAAAATACCTCTGATTTGCGAAATAATTGTCAGAATGTCTATACTATTTTCATTTTGAACGGTATCATCCTGTATAATAATAACAGTACATCGTATACAGGTTATGAGACATTCTGACCGACCGACCGACCGACCAGAGGAGCCCACCACGCTATTTAGGTCACGCCTTGCTATATACGATTTAACGATATACCGTCGGTCCATCGATCCGCTATTTTTCGATGCACCCCTGTATACACGTTGCCCCCCGTAATCCACGCCAACACCAGACAGGTGCGGCATCGGCGCCATCTATGCGCGAGATGCCCAACCCATCAATGGCAGTTGTCCAATGACACATAGATTCCGTTTGGTTTGTACAGCGCCAAACAAATCGGCGCCATCTATGCGCGAGATGCCCAACCCATCAATGACAGGTGTCCAATGACGTATGACAGATGACGTGTAACGCCATCTATGCGTGAGATGCCCAATGACGCATGACAGGTGTCCAATGACACACAGATTCCGTTTGGTTTGACAGCGCCATCTAGCGGCGGAATCCCCAACTCATGATTACAGATTCCGTCCAACAACCTGTCAATGGCGCGCGACGCCAGCGCCTCTGGTGGCGGATTTTGGAAGTTTTGAGACCGAATCCCCATAGACCATCTACTAATATGATTTGTAGGCTCTCTCCAAACCATTGGGACAGCAAAGCGCATAGACCGTTTTTTGCCATTTAACCAGCTCCTCAGACTTGAAGCACATGTATTACAGCAGATGTGGGGTGCCCACTGTTTGTCTTGATCACCTAGTTTACAACCGAAATAAAGCTGATATGCCTTTGTTATTAGTAGAGTAATAGACCGTCTCTGAGACGCAAAAGTCACATCACCACACACGTAACAAAACTGATCTGGATTGTTTACACACTTTCGAGACATCTTGCATGAACGCTGTCAGCCAACTGAGGAAAAAATTGCTAATATAAAACAATATAATGTACACGTATGTATAACGTAACACAATCATGCCGATTACATCATCTTTCCTTGCCGAATATAAAAATGTAGCACGTGCATTCTTGTGAATTACAGTATATTAACACTGTCACAGCAGGAACACATATAATTACCGTATCTCTAAAACTTGAACTAATATTGAAAAAATAAGTTTCATTCCGGTTTTAGCACATTAAAAATAGTAATATTTTGTTGATTTTATTTAGGATATTTTTTGGCTGTTGATCAGTGTTTTTAGTCGATTGAACAATGACTGCACTATGTCCTTTCCTTCCTTCCAGGTGAAACAAGTAGAAGAGTACATGGCGTACCGCAAGTTGCCGCGCGAAATGCGTCAACGTATTACCGAGTACTTCGAGCACCGATACCAGGGGAAGTTCTTCGACGAGGAGTGCATCCTGGGCGAATTGTCGGAGAAACTGAGAGAAGACGTGATCAACTACAACTGCCGGTCGCTGGTCGCGTCTGTGCCGTTCTTCGCGAACGCGGATTCAAATTTCGTATCGGATGTTGTAACTAAGCTGAAGTATGAAGTCTTCCAACCTGGTGAGTCAAGACTATGCATGTTATAAATCAGTAGCTTTTGAAATTTCTAGCTGCTCTTAAAAGTACGTCAGGCGGCGCTTTGCCCTTCTCAGTCTTCCTTTTGAAATTCCGAACCATGCTTATGTAACCTGAAAATATTAAAAAATACATTATATACATATCCCTACGTAGAATGATGTGCAAAGCTAATCGTCTAGTGTGGGGGCTGGTTGTCCCATGTGACAAGAGGCCCCCGCTAATTTGAGACAATCTGCCCCACTAGATAATTATTTTTTAAGGTTAGATAGCGTCACTAAATTAACAAATTCAAAGTCAATACTTACGTTAAGTCGTATTCGGATTATTGAAGAGCAAAATAAATTCAACAGTTCTTTTTATTATCAAATGTAGTCTTGAAAACACAAATTATGTGGCAAACGAAAAATTAACTCAGGTCAGGCGATTTGTTTATTTTTGTGTGTGCGACCTTAATCTACCAACGACAACTTTCGTACTGAATACAACTGTTCTGCGCAGACGCAGAAACGATGTGTAGCGCGCCAGGCAACTACATCTTGCGGAGCTGCCAAGATTTAACAATTGTGACAACCAACCCATGTGACAACCAGCCCCGGTCTCCCCTATCGTAACCTAAATGTTTCCCTATTGACATACATTTTGTTTTATTAGTGTTTAATTTAAGTTTACTGACATTTAACCAATTCATATTTTTTTAATATCACTATTTAACAGTTCTAACGCAGTGTCCAAATGCTTATATGCTATACAGAGTTATCCAAATTAAGTGTCCACCATTAGTAACTTTGTTATTAGTGAAAATACAAAGTTGTTTGAATTAGCAAACTAGTAGCATTTTTAACGCTGGTAAAAATGAGAAGTAAAAAAAAACAATTGATAGTCGTTATTTTGATTTTTTCAGTAAAATAACATTTTTTTAAATGGAAACCCCTGTATATTATATTTTTTTCTGTTAAAGCATCAAATTTTAAATAAAAAAGTTCATAATGACTTTTCCGCTAAAGTCAAAAATTAAGTCAAAATAACGATAAATATTTTTAATTATTTGCAGTATTATAATATTAAGACGGCTATGAAAACAACATGGCGTTCGCGATTTGACAGCATTAAGATAAGCGACAAATTGTTAAACTGGACATACTCGCAACTAGAAGGCTTTGGAAAACAATGATAAAATCAAATAATGTCAAACATTAGTGTAAATACTTGTTTATAAGCTTTATTGTGTCATTAATTTAAAGAAAAATGTTCTCCCATGAAGAAAAGTGTGATATGTTAGAATGCTATTTAGTGTGCAGAAAATCCTCCTTGAGAGCAAGTGAATTATATCCCGCTCGCATTCAACCGTATGAACGATATTTTCTGAGACTTTATCGAAAATTTAGGGGCAACGAAAATGTTTTTGCTAAAACAAGGGCAAAAAAAGAATTCATAATAAGCGAGGCCACGGAAATTGCAGTTATTGGATATTTTGAAGCTTATCGTGAGAATTCAATAGCAGATATTCTCAAGGACTCTAATTTCAGTTATGGTACTGTTCAAAGGATTTTAAAAAAATACAAATTTATTCCGTATAAGTACCGACCAGTTCAAACGCTTTTTGCAGGGGATCCAGAGAGAAGACTTGTTTTTTGCCATTGGTATCTTAGCTTCTGTCGCCAAAATGTAAATAACTTTCGTTACCTTTTATGGACAGATGAATCAAATTTTTCAAATTCTGGAAAGTTTAATAGAAAAAACCACCATTATTGGTCAAGAGAAAATCTTTTGTTAGTAAAAAATTGTTGGCCCGTTCTTTTATGAGGGAACCCTAACTGGTGAAAGATATGTGGAATTTATGTCAGAAATTCTGACTAATTTCTTAGACGAATTGGATCTTATAAGTAGACATCATCTGCATTTTCAGCAAGATGGCGCACCTGCCCACAACTCCAGAGGTACTTATCATTTTCTAAGTACTACTTTTAATGATCAGTGGATAGGAACAAATGGCCCAATACAGTGGCCTCCCAGATCACCAGATCTAAACCCACTTGATTACTTCTTGTGGGGTTACTTAAAGAACCAAATTTACAAGCGAAGGTACGATAACCTTGACGCGTTAAAGACTGCAGTTAGGGAAAAGATAACCCAGATAGATGGTAGAACCATACTTAAGACAGTTCGAGCAGTTGAAAAACGTGCCCAAAAATGTATTGAAGAACAAGGTGGTGTTTTCGAGCATCTTCTTTAAAAAAAATTGTTATTGTATTTTGTAAGATTATAAGTTGATGTTGAAAATAAAGTTTGTCGATACAATTTAATTGTTTCAGATTGGAGGCCATAACTTCAACAATTTGTAACCTAGGAGAAAAGTTATTGTAAGCTTTTTTGTTTAAAATTTGATGCTTCAACCGAAAAAAATATAATATACAGGGGTTTCCATTTAAAAAAATGTTATTTTACTGAAAAAAATCAAAATAACGACTCTCAATTGTTTTTTTTTTATTTCTCATTTTTACCAGCGTTAAAAATGCTACTAGTTTGCTAATTCAAACAACTTTGTATTTTCACTAATAACAAAGTTACTAATGGTGGACACTTAATTTGGATAACCCTGTATATATATATATATATATATAACTTGAGACGTGGTCATTGTCGTCTAAACCAGTTAGGTGAAAAATTAAAGCTTCCGCCTTTTGTTGGGTACTTCGACAAAATTTAAGCAAAGAGGACTCTTTATACTTTTTTAATTCTCTCTAGCTTTCAATGGACTTTGCCATCATCATCAGGAGCTGCAATTACAATGATAACAGTAGCAACAAAAGTGTAAAATGAATTTAAACTGCATCAACTTACACTAGTATGTGAGGATGTTGCTAATTGTTGTTTTCGTATAGGATGAGGGAAACGTCCAGTAACATGATGAGAGCTGGATCCATGGTATAATGGTTAAAATTATATAAAATATGACAAGACAAGTTAAAGAGAGATTAAAAATTATTTAGAAAACATTAGAGCATTACGTCGCGAAGCCACTTGATGATTGCACAAAATGGTGGTCATGGAATAATGAGTGAGATGAACCTTTGACAGAAGGCCGAAGGTTGTCAATGTCTGTGTTGGAAGATGGAACGTGTGCCAAAACGTTGCCAAATCACTTCAGATGATGTGATTTTCAGAATGTTATGTAAGAAATTGTTAAACCGACCAGAGGCAGTTGAATAAACTATATTTTAATTAATGGGAATTTTAAATTAACAATTATTAATAAATCGTGAGAAGAGAATTATTAGATTTTGAGTGGAATGAAATTTGTTGGTGGAATCGGCCAAAACACAGATTATATTTATGGTTGTGAAAAGTCGAAATTTGGGGAGATATGTAAGTTCTCTAATTTTTCGCAGTTTAGCAAATATAAGTAAATGACATTCAGTTGTTTAATATCTGTCTTTTTGTTGATACAGTTGTTATTCATGATAGATATTAAACAACTGAGTGTCATTTACTCATATTTGCTAAACTGCGAAAAATTAGAGAACTTACATATCTCCCCAAATTTCGACTTTTCACAACCATAAATATAATCTGTGTTTTGGCCGATTCCACCAACAAATTTCATTCCACTCAAAATCTAATAATTCTCTTCTCACGATTTATTAATAATTGTTAATTTAAAATTCCCATTAATTAAAATATAGTTTAATCAACTGCCTCTGGTCGGTTTAACAATTTCTTACATAACATTCTGAAAATCACATCATCTGAAGTGATTTGGCAACGTTTTGGCACACGCCCACAATTCGTTCCATCTTTCAACACAGACATTGACAACCTTCGGCCTTCTGTCAAAGGTTCATCTCACTCATTATTCCATGACCACCATTTTGTGCAATCATCAAGTGGCTTCACGACGTAATGCTCTAATGTTTTCTAAATAATTTTTAATCTGTCTTTAACTTGTCTTGTCATATTTTATATAATTTTAACCATTGTACCATGTACCCAGCTCTCACCATGTTACTGGACGTTTCCCTCATCCTATACGAAAACAACAATTAGCAACATCCTCACATACTACTGTAAGTTGATTCAATTTAAATTCATTTTACACTTTTGTTGCTACTGTTATCATTGTAATTGCAGCTCCTGATGATGATGGCAAAGTCCATTGAAAGCTAGAGAGAATTAAAAAAGTATAAAGAGTCCTCTTTGCTTAAATTTTGTCGAAGTACCCAACAAAAGGCGAAAGCTTTAATTTTTCACCTATATATATATATATATCATGTATCGTCCGCAAATATTTGAATTTTGCAGTATTCTAAAATGCCAGAGATATCATTTATATAAATAACAAATAGTAACGGCCCTAATTCGCTCCCCTGCGGCACCCCTACTGATATATTTGGACGCTTGACAAGAGTAGAATAGCCTGTAAAACTACATATTTCGAATTTTGTTAGTAATGAATCTTGCCATACGCAATCGATGGCTTTGGAAATGGAGAGGCCATACAGTGTAGGTGACTCAAGCACTCGACTATTGTATACACTATTTCTCTACTAGTCATGGTTGTTGAACACTTCGGTCTTAAAACGAAGCTAAACTAGAACAGAGGTCCATACAACTCACATGTTGCATTGTATTTTAGGTGATATAATAATAAAGGAAGGCACGATCGGCTCTAAAATGTACTTCATCCAAGAGGGCATAGTCGACATCGTAATGGCGAACGGCGAGGTCGCGACCTCGCTCAGCGACGGCAGCTACTTCGGAGAGATCTGCCTGCTGACGAACGCGCGCCGGGTGGCGTCCGTGAGGGCGGAGACCTACTGTAATCTCTTCTCGCTGTCAGTGGATCACTTCAATGCGGTACTCGACCAGTACCCGCTGATGCGCAGGACGATGGAGTCGGTGGCCGCCGAGAGGTCAGTGCGTTGGTTGGTATACGGTAACACCCCCAGACGGGTTCTATTAAATATTGTGTGTGTTGAATATGCGATGCGGTATTCTCTCTCTATGTATTTAGAGCCACGAGGTGCTGAAAAATCACATTACCTTGCTCCTCACCCAATTGTTCAATTCGAAGTAGGACAAGTTTCGAATGGTATGGGTTACAAACAGCCCGGAAATGACTAGGTATTGCTTAGACCGAGAACTAGCGGCGGCCAAACCTTCAAAGTTTTATACAACCTAAAAGTTTCTCTGGGCTGGAAAGAACGACAGGGCGACTATGAAATTTGGATAGTGATTACTTTGTTAAGTAACAGGTAATAAAGGTATATAAAATAGTACCTCAATATACACTAGTCAAGAAAACTAAGCGAGCAAGAAAAAATCCGATTTTTTCGGTGATATTTGACAAGCTGTATTCTGGTGGAACTTGGTCGTATCAAAACTTTGAAGCATTTAAAAGCTTTGTGATTCTGGTTTTTATGTTTCTTATTCGAAAAATTTTAGAAGCAATAGTCGTCATGCAATTCTTACAGACAGCACAACATTTTTTGCATAAATTTTGACTTTATCTTGGTCTACGAGCTTGAGAACATTTTTCTCTGTTAGACAATCATATGGTTCAGGTAGCCGGTATTTAGAAGTCAAAAAAGTTTGCAAAAAAAAATGTTGCGCTGTCTGTTAGAATTGCATGCGAACCTCATCAAAGACTTTTGGCTAGGAAATCTGAAAACTAGAATCTTAATGCTTTGTACAAAGTCTAGATACGACCTCTTTTCACCGAGATACAGCCTCTAACAGATCACCGACAAATTTGGATCTTTTCTTGCTCCCTCAATTTTTTTGAGAAGTCTATCTACAGTTCAGCTTTTATACTAATGACGAAAGTTCAGCTCCAATTTCTAAATGTTTAGGGGCGTTTGGCAGGGAGTTGATACTATAGTGAGTGCCTGGCAATGAATGAAGTTATTTCTAATATCATTCTACAGCATTTAGCAAAATCCTTAGATTGATATTCCCACAAAACCATGAAGGATTTTTGATATCCATACATCCATAAAGTTGAATAGTTTTCGTTGTTCAGGAACTGACACCACACTATATTCACAGCGATTAATAAATTCCCAAATATACGCCTTAAAGCTACCATCAAACCTAAAACCTCACGAGTACACATTCTAGGTTATATTTTATATTAGCCATTATTTGGATACAGCTGATTATTGCATTTCAAGGAGTGACACATGTGTGGGATCTGTCAACTCTTGGTACCAGTCGCAAAACATATTATACTCTGAAGGTTTAATTCCATGCTATGCAATGACAACACGGTGACTTGTGTGCTTATCAGCGGCCATTTTGTGAGGGTGCGACAGGGTTGCCAGATTGTGCATTAATATCCCGTTTCACCCTCCTGGTCCCAGTGGAGTAAGTTCCGCCAACTGTTGAAATATACTCTACTATGCTTCATAAGACTATTCGTGACATTTTTCCCAAAATCATTGCACAACACTTGAAAAAATGCAAATGAAAATTTAAAATTATTTCCTTGACGCCGCAATATAGCTCCGTCGGTACCTTGGGTTATACATATTGACAGTGGGGATGTTCGATACGATCCTATATTTAGAAGTATCAATACATTTCACGAGTATCGTCATCTTTCGACCCGGACTGTGTCAGAAAGAGTGACTGCCATTTGGCTGCGACATTACCCCGCCAAATCAGACATATCTTTCATCATTTTCAAAGAAATTGTAAAAAATCTTCAAATTTGTGAATTTGTTACCAGACATGCCCAAATCTTGCTGCCGTGATATTCATCCCGACCACTGCATCCCCACTTCCCCACGGCTAGGCGACCTGTATGTTAGATTTGTATTGATAGGGCAGCAGTTAGATGATACCAAAAATATTTTCATAAATAGGAGATCTTTCCCATTTCGGATCGAACAATCTACCAAAGATGCTTATAATCATAATACCTAGTAAATTTTCACGAAATAAATTCAAAACTAACAAATGTAAAAGATTCATTTCGCACCCTCCACCACGGGACGTGATCGTCGTTAGACTTGGCAACCCTGCGAGTGTCAGATAGATATCCCCGCCAGTCAAAAAAGAAAAATAGACAAACAATAAACGTTACTAGTTTTTTTGATTTTTGGACTTAAAAGCCATTATCTGTGAAACATTTTTCATAATTTTTTGTCTATGTATTGGAATTGTTCAGCAAATCAAAAATGTGATAAATTGCGAAAGTTCGGAATCTCAATCTGCCAGTATGAATTTTAAATATTCCCTAGCTTCTCGAAATGCTACTCTTTGTTATCAAAAGTCGGACTTAATTATTATTTATGGAATGGTTATCAATAATTCGATCGCGTTAGATCGTGGTAGGTTTAGCTTGTTTCATGATAAAGAAATGCGAAACGCTTATTTAATAAATTTCCTACAAAATCTCTTTCCTCTAAATGCGACAGTTCTATCAATAGCCAAGACATGATAAAATTATTACTAATTACTGAATCTGTATCGTACTGCAGTTTTGCTGTAAAGTACTAAAACTTGTGACTATCATATGTTTGGGCCACTTAACGAAGACCTGGGAGGTCACTAATTTGACGATGGCGAAGGTGTGGAAACTTTGTGAAAAATTCATCAATAAGAGAGGAGATTATGTAGAAAAATAAGATTTAAATAAACTTGTATTTACTATACGAATAAAGTTACTAAAACAAAAGTCCGGTTCATATTTGATTCACCCTCGTAATACCAAATACTTAAATTATTGAATGGTATTGCTTGGAATCTTTGAGAATTTAAGTGAAAAGTTTTATCATAGTTCCTTAGATGAACATCTTGACGTTTTTAACAATTGGAAGAGAGGACGAGTATGTGATTTTTTGCAAATTGTGATGTAGTGGTGGCTTAAACGCTTGTTTGCTGTGTGGCTCTCTATCACCTCTGTACTCTAACCCTTTTAACCTTTTCATAATCATAAATTTAACTGGAGGAAATAATTAACTCTGTATCACATTGGCATCCAAATATTTTCCATTGGTATTCTGGAAGTAGCGGTTTCAACTATAGACTCTGGATAGGTCTCCAACCCCTTTTGCAGTTACAGCTATATTACATATATGTGTATGACACTTTTGTACTTTTTCCAGAATATGAGGTTTTTCTTGTTTTTTCGTTTTAACCCATCAAACCATGTGGAAACATGGACACCTGACGACTAGACCCAGTAAAGGTTTTTAACATTTCTTGTCCCGATTTTGGGAGTGACTACTTGTCAATGAAGACTGTCAATCCTCCGTGGGACAGTGATCTTATAATTTATTATAATATTTTGGGAAATCTCGTGTATATGCTCCAGAGTTATCAATACGGGCTGCTTCCGGAATACCGAGATCACTAAAATTACTGATCCACGCTCTTTTCATTTATTTAGCAATTGGAAAATATCTCAGTATTAGTATTTGAAAATACAGTTGCTTTTAGTAGTGGTACCATACTAGATCAGAGTAGGACATGATGATTTTGCAGTTCTGTTCCCAAATACTGTCTGGCTTACGATTAAACGGATTGAAAATGTTTTATCCCAAAATTTTTACACGACTACAGTACCCGTATATACAGGGTGTCCGCAAAGTTGGGGTTTTCCTTTTCAGAAACAACTACCCTTGAAATAACAAAGGTAATGTGTAGTGAAACGAGGGCGACCAAGTAAAAAAAAATAAAGGAAAAAGCACTCACTCTCTAGTTGACGAGAAGGGCTAAGTACGTCTCTGCCCGAAATCATACCGCTCCAACAGAAAATGAAATCAGCTGATGCGCTACCGAGCAGACGCAGAAACCACATTGATTGTCTTATACTTAATGGCACATCTTCTAACAAGGAAGGCAAAATGTTGCGTAAAAAGTCTAGGTATTGCATCCCGTCCAAACGATTTGGGAGAATAAATGGTCCAATCAGCATACCGTTCACCATGCCAGCCCAAACATTCACCGAAAATGTTTGTTGAAAATGTGCCCGACGGACAGCGTGCGGATTTTCTACTGACCAAACATGAGTGTTGCGAAAGTTATTCACCCCATTACGCGTGAACGTAGATTCGTCTGTCACCAATATGCACTTCAAAAAGTCCGGATTATTGTCATGTTGATGCAACAACCACTCACAAAATCGCACTCTTGCTGACAATATTCAGATATTTTTGATGTTGCAGAGCCCTTTATCTCGGTTCCCTTAAGACGTTGGTGTATATGGTACTAAGAAAAATTGCTTATGTTTTAAAGATCTACACGTCGTGTAAAGGAAAACCCCAACTTTGCGGACACCCTGTATTCAATACGATCTTCAGACATTCAAATGTTCCAAAGATCTGTCAGGTAAGATGAATATGAGCTAACCTGTTTCTTTTTTGGCACAAGAAAGTCATATCTCTCTTATTTTGACGTCACAAAGCAATTTTATAACATTATTCTATATACAGGGTGATTCGCAAGTCGTGACCAAGAATGAAACATTATTCACAGCGCCGCATTTAAAGGGGGGTCTTCTATGTAACATTTAGATCTTCAAAACCATGAACTGGAACGAACTACAATTTCTTATGTGGATTTACGCAAGTATCGTCAACATTCAAAAGTAATAATAATAATAATAATAATAATATTCTTTATTGCCAGCAAAATTTTAAAGAAAAAAACATAAGCAACGTCAAAAAAAAAATGTAGTACAATACCAACGGGATATTATATGTATGTTTACAATATTAAAAACTATTAAAATGACAAATAAAAGTCCAGTATGTCACAACTTAGCTTAAAATGTTATTAAAATAAAATAATGGAGCTCAAATGTTAAAATCAAAGCTGTACAAACATCTGTCCAGCAAAAACTTTTTCACCGCTCTTTTAAACCTAATAGGCTTGCTCTCGGATTTTATATCTATAGGAAGCATAT